TGACAGCGAAACAGACAGACAGCTAGCAATGCAGCAGTTCCGGTCAATGAAGCTGGGACCTGATGGAGACCCGTTAGTGTTGGCGGTGAAACTGACGAATCTACTTCGACGGGCGCTTCCCACTTTAGATGAAGAATCAGAAGCGCAGTTACTGTCTTCCCAATTCATCGAGAGTGTCCCAGACCACATTTCTCAGCGATTAAAACTGGTTAACGCAACGCAGCCGATGGATATTAGTGAGCTGGCGAAGGTGACCAGACAGCTGCTGAGCACAACGGTAGCCGCTATAGACCAACCAAAACCAAACGAATATGAGCAGAAAATTGAAGCATTGCAGCGGGAAGTGGCGGCGTTAAAGTTGGCTGATAGAAAAGACCGGTGTTTTGAATGCGGTAAGCCGGGACACTGGAGAAGATACTGCCCAGAAAGGCGAAAAAGAAAAAATTTCAGACGGTATAATGCTTGTTCTTTCTTTCGTATGAACCTAGATTTAGTGGGGGCTATTGAGAAAGGGGCTCTGTATTCGAAGTTGCGAGTGAATGATCGAGAAGTAGTATGTTTGATAGATACAGGAGCGGCCGTGTCGTTAATAGATAAGAATTTATGTAAGAGTGTTAGTCCGTGTTCATTGACAGTACAAACAGTAGGCGGGTATGTGTTGCGTATCACGGGTAGATCGAACTGTACGGTCGTTGTTGGTGGCTGCGAGGTGACGTTTCCTTTCATTGTTGTACCCGAACTACAGCGAACGATATTAGGAGCGGATTTTCTGCGTGAGATTGGTGCAATAATCGACACGCAAGCGAACGTGGTGATCACGAAATACGGGCATATCAACATGTATGAGACCAGCGAGATAGCAGCGATTAAGCTGTCGACGGTACACAATGTGACAGAGTTAATTAATAAATACGATCATCTGTTCACTGGAGATGGCGACCCATACGGTTATTGCGATAAGGTGAATCATGAAATTCCGTTAAGTGATCCGAAAGTAAGGTCATTTACAACGCGAAGAGTTCCATGTCATCTGGAAGGCGAAGTGGAGCGACAAGTGCAAGAGATGTTAAAAGATGATATTATTGAGGAAGCTGATAGCCCGTACAACTCTCCAGTGCTGTTAGTAAAAAAAGCGAATGGGAAGTATAGATTCTGTGTTGATTTTCGACAGTTAAACAGTATGACAGAGTTAAGACCGTGTGCCATGCCAACAGTGGTAGAAACTTTAGATCGCCTACAAGGTGCGAATGTGTTTTCGGTTCTCGATCTTCGCTCAGGATACTGGCAGATACCGATAAAACAAGGTGATAGAGATAAGACGGCTTTCATCGTGGGTCAGACACAATATCGATTTAAACGCATGCCGTTTGGACTAGCAGGTGCACCGTTTACGTTCAGACGACTGATGAAGCTATTACTTAAGAACTTGAAAAACGTGGAGGTTTATGGTGATGATCTCGTCATATACAGTCAAAACGAAAACGATCACGTCAACCATGTAGAAGCCGTGCTGCGACGCATCGAAGAGTTTGGACTACGCGTCAACAAAACCAAGTCCCAGATAGCCAAAAAGAATGTTACTCTGTTGGGACATAAAGTGGGAAATGGTGAGATTAAACCACTGCCGGAGAAAATTTTGACGATTAAAACGATTCCAGCCCCGAATTCAAAGAGAAAACTGAGACAATTCTTGGGTAGAGCAGCGTTTTATAGTCGCTTCGTGAAGAACTTCAATGAGATAGCAGCCCCTCTATACAGGCTACTAGGTGAGCCAAAGTTTGTTTGGTCGGAAGAATCGCAGAGGACATTCGACAGAATTAAACAGCTGCTCGACCACCAACAAATGACGCTAAAACTACCTGTACCAGGAAGACAGTTCACAGTGTGCACAGATGCCAGTGACTACGCTATAGGTGCGGTCCTAAGACAGGACGAGGGAATCGTTGAGTATGCCAGTAGGGTTTTGACACTCACAGAGAGAAAGTATTCAACGATAGAGAAAGAATGTTTAGCAATGGTATGGGCAGTCGACAAATGGAGACCTTATTTACTCGGCCGGCGGTTCCACATCGAAACTGATCATAAGCCGCTACAATTTTTGAAGACAGCGAGAGACCCACGGGGGAAGTTGTCACGGTGGATGTTGCGTCTTCAGGAGTACGATTTTACGATCTCACACGTTCCTGGAAGTGAAAATGTCTTGGCAGATTTGTTATCGAGACCAGAAGATGAGTCTGAGTTGCCCGAGGTCGCTTACGGAGTGCATGCAGTAGAACAAGACCCACTAAGACTTGCACGTAGGCAGAGGTTGGACGATACGCTGAATACAGTAATACAGGTGATCACCAACGGAATAGAAGTGGATCAAACTACGGCGAGTAAGGAGCTAACCACACTACTCAGACAGAGGGATCGACTCAGAGTGAATGCCTACGGGACTCTGACCTGGCGAGAGAACGACGGAAGCTGGCTGGCTGTCATACCTCAATCGTCGCGCCACGACATGATAGAAGAATGTCACCAGCTAGCGCATACAGGCGTGGCCAGAACGACCGACCTCCTAAGACAAAGTATGTACTGGCCAGGTATGAGAGAAGACGTAGCAAGATACGTACTTGGATGTCCACGGTGCCAGCTGATGAAAGGTGACCGGTGCATACGACCACCACTTCAGTCGATTCCAGTTACCGCGATAGGTGACTTGTGGTCCGTAGATGTCATGGGTCCATTTCCTCAGACATCCAATGGTAATCAGTACCTCTTGGTGATGACGGAACACGCGACACGATGGGTAGACGCCGTAGCAATCCCAGACCAACGTGCAAGAACCGTGACAGATGCAGTAGTTAGACACATTGTTGCAGACCACGGCGTACCGAAGACAATACTGACAGACCAAGGTCCCTGTTTCGAGAGTGAAGAGTTTACTTCCCGTTTGCAACAGCTGGGCATCAAGAGGATCAGAACGACCCCATACCATCCACAAACGAATGGCCTAACGGAGAGAAACAACCGTACACTGAAGGAGTGGCTGGCCTCGAAGGGCGGGAACTGGGAAACGGAGCTTCCACTGATTTTACTAACACATCGGGCTACCACTCAGGAAACAACGAAGAAGTCACCCTTCCAACTGATGTATGGTAGAAAACCACGATTACCGGTACACAATGAGACCTGGCCCATGCACCAAAAGTGGAGTACGACGAAATTAAAAGCAGAGAGGAAAGAGGCAGTCAAGAATGTAATACGGAAGCAGCGCAGTGATGTCGCGAAGTCTCAGATGAAAGAAAGGACGCAGTGCATTACCTTTGCAGTCGGGGACCAAGTGAAGTGTAGAGACAGGAGATATACAGTTGGAGGCGGGCTAGGTTCACGGAAACTCCTTCCAAAGTGGGAAGGACCATACACAATCACAAAAAGACGGGGTCAAGTATATACCATCCGAAGAGGTGATAAACAGAAACGAGTTAACGCCAGTCAGCTCCAAAGATGGGTACAGTGGGACAAGCCGGTCAGTAACAATCCTCAACTAGAGGATGTAGCACCCAGAAGGTCGGAACGTCTGCGTACGAAGCTATTTGACAGGGGGACGAGTGTGGTGAGAGCAGGGTGCTAGCCAATTGGTAGACATTAATCTAGGCTGATTCAACAACCAATCACAGCAGACTTAAACGTGGGCAAATATGATTCGCAGATAAATGGCTCTACTTTCCGAGAAGTATCGAAAACAACCAATCAGGAGACTTTGTTTGTCTGATTAACTTCCCAGAAACAACCAATTAGAAGACTGCCTTTTTCTGCTTGCATAAGCCTTATTAATGTACATAAAATATATATAAATACGCGTTGATTTTCGTAATAAAACGATCTGTTGCCTGGCCCTTGTCTTCTGTTGTTACATGTCGTTAACTATCATCGGGAAAGGAAGAGAGAAGGAAATTGCAACACATTTAATAGCACGCGATAAGTTTCATTGATTGTTTGTTACTTCATTCAATACATTGTGTGAGGACTGAGATACTGCCCGGGCGCCCAGACCGAAGCAGGTGGTTTTCTTAAGGGACCAACCCCCGAGCCTTTGACTTGGAGTCTAATCCGCAAGGCAGCGGAGCAGCGTCAGGAGCTGCATTCCCATGGTTTACGGTGACCCATATGGGTTGATACGCCATTTGATCCGATTGGATACTGGAGCCCATGTACCCCATGGTAACTGCTTTTAGTTTAACCGCTATCCAACAACCTTCGTGACATGGTAGGACCTGCAGGGACAGAGTCCCAGTCAGTTTAGCAAGTTGGGTCATTATGGTATTCAATCCCGACCACCACGACAAGGTAGCAGTTATCGGCCAGGAAAATATTTATTTAATATATTTATCTATTTAATAACAATAAATACAAATATGAACTGGCATATTTACGAACCAATCAATGTAAATACTTCTGATATAGCAACGTGGAAACCAGAATGTATTCGGACATGTTGCGAACCTGAACAGACGTTGAAAACGTAATTAAAATGCTACAAGTCACGTATATCGTATTAACCATTCTCAACAATATATTACAGATTAGATCAACAATTTCTATTTATTTTGACCATAATCCAGTCATATTAAAATCAAAGAACTGGATAGCAACCATGTACAGAATAGGTGGTGTCTGTCTGTCTGTTTTCGACATAGAACTTTGCACAAATGTGCGACAGTCCAAGTCGCCACATTCCGTGTAGCACGCGAAGCAAGAGAAGAAAGTACAAGAAAAGCATAATAGAAACAGTGAGCAGAGGTGTGAGACAAAGGAGTAATAAAGAAATACAAAACAGTTTCATTGGAGATCATAAGTCACAAGGAGTGGATGCATCTGCGCCACTGAGAACGATTTTGAGCCATGTCACCAATTGTTTCCAACCATAGATTTTTGCCGTCCCGAGGACCCCAGCCTGGAAGTCTACACCTTTCTACGTGGCTTAGACCAACTGTTGTGGATTTCATTGACTGGTGCCAAGTTTTTGTTTGACCGCCGCTAGCTAGGTGTGACAGACAACTGTAATCCTCATAAAAGTCTTTACAGTTATTCATCAAAAATCATGATGACTAAATAAAAACTAAAAGTAAGGGAAAGCAGCTCAAGACATTCGGCATGTCACTAAACTATTTAAAGACAGAAGAGAAAAATCAAGTAGCATCCGAACAGATCGTCTAACAAGCGGACACTTTCATATATATGTCAGAAGTTTAGGTTACTTTGGATTCTTGTAGGGAGTAATCAATGGTTGCTGGCATCATACTAATCCTACATTTTACTGTAACGATAAATAAGTCCAGCAAAGTAAATGCCAGGACTGTTCCATTATCAGTATTTAAATCCCTGTCAGGAGATTGGAAGTAGTCCTAGAGAACACAAAAATACGTTAACTATATACAGACATAGATATCAAGAAATCTGTTGCACAAAATGCTTTAAAATCATAGATACTAGAAGAGGTTAGAGCAGAGAAAATATAAAACATAAAAAACGCCAGATGCTGGTTTTGATTACAGAATGTATATAATGACATGTGAAGTCAGTGATTTTTTGAATACCATCTGTAAACAGCATTCATGTACTGAATAGACATGTAATACAACTTCTGTCTTGCTTTTAAGAAAACAAAGTATTATTGTATACAAATGAATATATTTAGACAAATGGAAGAAATCTTAAATGTCAATTATCACAAATAACTCATGCATATCTTCTTTTTCATGAATTTGCATATTAGAATATGTGATAGCCTTGACTTCAGTACCCTACAAAAAGACAAAAAAACCCGTGAACTGCTATCCTAAGAAATGGACATTATTGGTAACATGCTGCCTGGCTAACTAAACTTTTCATATGAAACTATTACAAATAATCCGGATTTCAGATATTAGCCATGAAAGGAAACGTGTTACTGTTCAATGGAAAATGCTTTTAATCAATCAGCTCTTGAGTGATTTACCATCGGAAGGTAGCAATGTAATAGTAGAATTAATAATTCCATGTAATTTCTTGTTACACAAACCATCAATAGAAGTTAGGTCGAGTTTTGGAGTAAATTAGTTTAAAAACGTCATTTTAGCTTGTATTCCAGGAAAGCTATTTGTTGCTCTGATGAACCAATTCACGAGTAATGTGAAAGCAATTGGAAAACAAATATACTAAGAAATGAAAGAAAATCAGTTATTTCTGTAACATTTTCGGAGAACTATTAATCATGCACTCTGAATAAATATCAGACACTCAAAGGAATCGGTTTTATATTGAAACTCTGTTGCAAATTATTCCCCCCTGGAGAAGTGTATAGCATTATGGACCCATTAGAAAAGGTGTAGTTTACGGTCAGTGAAAATCACACATCCAGTGATTCAGGAACATGCATTATTATTCTGAAAGTGGAGAGATGTGGCTGATTGATCTCACAGCTCAATGCTCAGCCAAATAGCCAAAAGTTAGAATCCCAACCCACTATATTCAACCTAATCAAATGAGCAGTATTACCAGTCCTCACACAATAACTATATGATTCGAAGCCTGGTAAATAAGCAGTTTATAGCAGGAAACTGAGTTCTAACTATTATTCTAAACACTTAAAAAGTTTGACTAAAATAAATATATGAAACAGCAAAAAATGTTGGTGATCAGAGTCGGCATAGCTTAAAGTTTGTTTATTCCACAAATCCAACTGACCTGCGGGTGCTTCGAGATGTCAAACGGCTCTCCCCAACTATGCAACAGAAAAATAATACATTAGTCTCTTGTCACTAAATGGAGCACAACTTACCCAACAGATTTGATATAAAACTTCTCTTTGTTGAATTCAGTTATTTTAACAACCTATTAAAAGAGTTAGAAAGTAGTTAGATAATGATATAATGGAAAACATTTGTAGCGCAGGTGGACAATTTTGATTAAGTTGTGTTCCCTTAGCTATTCAGTTTAATTGCGAAGCTTTCGTCGTCCTTCTAGACAATATTTACAGCGAAGGTTTGAGTATGAGTGAACTTATTTGAATTCTCTATGAATGATATAATTGTATCTACTGACGACCATTACTATGCAATTTATTTTGTAAATGATTTTATTCTTACCTTCTTTTTCTGTTTGATATTTTGGTTTGCACAATATCAAATGAAGTGAACTGTGTCGGCTTGTGCACTATGTTTATTTTAAACGGTCTTAATATTCTAGGGGTTATTTCAAAGGTACTCTTTAAATGTGGTAGAGTGGATTTTCTTGTGGTCGTTAGAGATGGTTTCGTTGATGGTATTACAACTTGAGTTTAAAGAGTTTCTCATAAAATTGTGTGAGTATTCATTCTTTTTGAAGACAGTTAGAAGGCATTTCTTTTCCATTCTCTACAGCACTGGAGTGCTTCAGTGTTTGGACCCTTTTCAAAGCAAGACTTCAAGTGAACAAAGGGAAAACGGAGGTGATGAAGACAACCAACCGACAACAGTAACAAGCACAGATCATCACCAAGGGAAGAAATTCAAAGTAACTCACTTCTTTCACTTATCTAGGCAGTATCGTTCCAGCTACAGGTGGTACAAATGAGGATGTCAAAGCCAAGTAGGATCGCAAAGGGAAGATAGACCTTCATTATTTTCAAATCAAAGAACAAGATTCGGAACCTCAGCAACTATGCCAAGTCAGTTCGTCTGTTTAGTTCAGAGACGGCATGTCACCAAAAACATCTTGAAAAGACACTAGGCTTTTATCAACAGCTCCCTTCGCCAGCTCCGTACGCAGGGTCAGATGGCCGGTCAGAAAGGATTAGAAGCAAGGAAGTCTGGCAACTCACCAACCAAACTTATTGCCTAAGGAATATGCCGAAGAAAACGGAGGTAGATCGGCTCTCGAGTGAAACCCGAATAGGAAGGGGAGTTAGGCGTCTGAGAGTGAGATATGAGAGATCATGTGGGTAGGAGATAGGAGCTTGTAGGTAATTGTGAAGCCAACTAAAGAGAATTGCAGAGAATATGGTGAAATGGAGATGTGCTGTTGGAGCTCTATGTTCCACTCGGAACCCTAGGAAATAATAACAATTTAACTGTTGAGTTGTTTAGGTTATAGAATATTGTTTTTGGAAAGTTTAATTCCATCGTATACGTTTCCAGTGCCCCTAATTAAGGGGATTTGTTCTTGTTAAGAGGGCCTTGATAGCGTACAATGACATTTAAGTATTTTTTGGAGGAAGACTTATGTGAGACAAAACACGTAGTTCAGTGAAGTTTCTTTTAAGCGAATTCATTGACTTAGTTGAACAATCGCAAATATATATAATTATTTCTGTACGTATGTGTATATTTGCTTTGTCATCCTAATCAAAACTCATTCATTGAATCATTTATCTTGTTACGCAACTCCAATACACTTATTCAACTTCTCTTATGCACGGACTAACACCGTAGCTTTATACTAATCTTCACCCCCCTAGTTACAATTTGATTATTCATCACATTTTCCGAAATATGTTGGTGACGTAATCAACAAATATAACATTCCTGTCTGACAAAGCTTAAGTACACACAAATACAAAAATAGTTATATAATTGCGATTGTACAGTTAGCTGAATTCGCCGAAAAGAGACTTTTTGCTGAATGTGTTTTGTTTTTTATCAGTGTCTGGATGGGGATTATTCATGAATTAAAAAGTAGCGAGGACTTATGTCTTTCTTCTGCTAGGGAGGAAGAAATAGATTTTAATTAAACTGAAGCATCAAAAAGCAGAAACTCATTATATCGAAGGTGCAACGGGAATTAACAGTATTTTCATTTTGGGAAATTATTTTAATCATCTCTGACCAATTATCCAAATCCCATTCGTCGAATTAAAAAATTCATCGTTAGTTTCCTTTACGTTCACACTTATGAATTTCTTTATTTTTATAGGTGAAATTTAAATTCTTTGTGGGTATTTGCTAGCCTTAAAATTGAATGGATTCAGTGGGGGAGTGATCGACCCATGACTTGGCGCACTAGGATGAAGGGCAATTTTGTTGCGCTTACACATGTTGGTACATCACAACTCCTTGGATGCGGTCCAAGAATTTATGCAGCTCAGTCGCTCCGACGTTATCAGATATGGTCCATAATCTAAACCAAGGGTGAGGATTCCGCCCTTTAGCTTCCTGAAAGCAAAAAGAGGTACCAAACACCCCTTCTAATGTTCTTGATATATATGTTTAGATGTTCTATTGTTTCGTAAATATGCTGCTGTTTATTTCTGTATATTGTTGTTTTACTATCTTTCCTGGTCCACTTTTCGATGCCTGTTGACACAATAGTAACAATTTTTTATTTCAAATAATAAAGTATCTATTCAATAAAACACGTATATCTGCTAATTTAAAAGACAACACTAAACCGAATTAATTTTTAAATGATACCAGAATAAATTGCTGTAGTCTTACGCGTGGAATGAAAAACCGGTCTGCTGAAAAAGCAAACAGCCATTCGTCCAAGAAATGATAAAGTAATGACATCATATCATGACCTACAAAATAAAAGATAACAGCATTAGCATCACACTTTTTGAATGTATGGGTGACAATTGAATCTAATCATTTAGATAGCACTTGATGACTATTCAACATATTTGAGGACACCTTCTTAGATGTTTATTCAAGAGAAGCACAGGAAACCCGGAAAAACAAGTACACACAAGGTGAATTCCACACGTACCAAAGGCTCAGTAACAACAGCAATAATCCAACATACAAGTGAAACTGTGTACAGGCATCGTTTAGAACCCATTGCAACACTTCAGATCCAAAGAAAAAAGCAGAGAAATATCTATCGATAGCCTTAAAAAAAGGACACCCTCGCAATTTTCCCAGGTGTCTCGGCTCAAATCAAACAACCAGAAAAAGACCATCCTCGGAAAATACAACAAAGATTCATTATGCCATAGATGAGTAACGTTTTTAAAATAACTGCTACAATATTAAAAATACACAGATGAACGGTATCACTTCAACTAATACTATTCAAACCACAAGACCAAACAACAGAGGACAACATCAACAACATATATAAGATAAATTACACTACCTTGGAAAACATTGTGTCGGCTGAAGTGGACACCTACTTCCAAGAAAATAAACCAGCTGTCAAAAGACATGACGCATGCATATAGAAAGTTACGGACCGATTGGTTGGGGAAATATGAAAATTACAAACGACAAATATACTCAAGTGCTTATGGGATTTCCAGAAGCCTGGTACTCCTTTAAAAAGTGACTGTTTTTGGCAAGTTTTGAATGCTTCCTAAATACCTGGATTGTCCACTTTCACGTTCTGATACAACAGACCTCACAACTATATTGTCTAGTGCTTACTGGAACTTCAAATTTCTAGTGACTCAGAATCTACTCATTGACAGAAAAAGTCCTTTTCAAAAATATGCTCGCAGAAACGAAAATGCGTTTTGATCAATTCTACATTTTTTCGGATCCTAAATGACATTATTTGAGGGACAAACAAAAATGATCATTCTTTGAGCTGTCGAAAAGTCGTCTGCTACATTTATTGAAATCTTATAGTACTGTTTACAGACTGAATTTTTCATAAACTCATTTTAATAGGTGTTTACTGGTCTTCCTGCTTAAACAGAACAAATTATATCAGCCATACGTTTTTGTTACATATACCAAATGTCTGTGTGAAACTGTAGAAATGTAAGTACTCACTTTGTTGTCAGGCAACAGGATTAGGATCAGCCAGTAAATACAATAAACAGCGATGTTTGGCTAAATGTCACGACAAGGGTGCGTTTAGAACCTTTCGAAATGGATCAAAATAACAATTCACTTCCTAAAGTAGGTTCGAAGAGTTAACTTGCCACGAACGTGAGTCTTATGTGTGTTGAACAATTGGACTTCTTTTCCTTTATCTAAGCACATTTTACATTACCTACCATTCTACCAATCAGGTTTTTGTTGTAATAACATTTAAATGAAACACCATCCAATTTACCGTATATTGAGATGGCTTTAATAAACACGTTTTAAAATATTATCCATACCACCTAGCCACCTAGTTTTTATTTATTTTTATTGTACTCCTCTATGTTCCACTCGGAACATAGGGCTTCATGTTGTGAGCAGTATTACAATTTTTACAGGGTGGGGGTTGGTAGCTTCACGCCCAACCTACCATCCCTACCGGGTTTACTACTGACTACGCGATGTTTAGGAGTTGGGGAGGGATAGAGCCGCGGACCACGTTCGTGGTGGGCGAGCATTCTGCCACTGAGCCACCGACGCACTGAATACCTTGACTGCGGACAATAGAAACTCCAGTCAGCCTACAGCAAAATCTTTTCAAGGGAATTGTGTATTTCAAAACATAAAACGATGAAAAGGATGAATTATGAAACTGACCATTTGCTTCAACTTCCATTTTTTCTAGCATATTTACCGAATCATAGTTTGTTGTCATGTAATTAAACATCGCCATGGCAACCTATTCTTATAAGGTAATATATAAATGTACACAAAAAACTTGTTCGAATGCTTCTACTTGATCATCGCCCCAAGAGTGCAACCTATAACAAAAAAGTAAGAGATGATGGTAGATATACGTACGGTACAATTTTGCAACATAAATGAATTCACTATGTAAGAGACGAATATATGTTTCTAGAAAGTAGTCAACTACCGGTTAGTGGTATTGTGAGTGCTAATATGATAGGTAAACTAATCATTAAAAACGACAACTATAAGCAGCAAAATCTAAACTGCTTATCGAAGGTGCGTCGGTGGCACAGTGGTTAGGACTCTCGCCGACCATGCACATGGTCCGGGGTTCGAGCCCTCGCCGACGCACACCTGATATCTTTGGTTGGCCTGCAAAATTTGGGCTACCGATATCCACGCTGAAAATTCCATACTTGTACCAAAAATACAGTGTGGAATCAAGCTGTAATCAAAAATAAAAAAATAAAATAAAATAGCCTAGTGAGCAAGTAAAGTGAACTGGGTGATTTTAATGTCAGAATAGACACTTGACTTGCATCTGAGCCACCTACCGCACTTTACCAAACGTTTGGTAGACACCTTAATCTGCAAAGGTTGGTGAGCTATGTTTTTCTTGAGAAACAACCTTTCTTACACGAAGTATGGAGAGCGTAGAAAGTGTGTTAACTGATCATAAGTTGTAAGACGTAAGGCAGTGGAAAAGGCATCTGTTGTAACGTCGCATACTGCAGTCCTAACGGAGTATCAAATGACTCACGAAAATGAGTTGCTTCGAAATCCAAATATGCCTAGTACGCGAATAAAAATTCAAAGCCTAATCAGTTGAATAAGAAAACCGAGAAACAGGATCATCCGATGGCACATTTAAGCAGAAGTCAGTTTGGCATAGTATATTGAGAAATTCAGCTGATATACTCATGTTAGACCTAAACTTGTTGTGAGTGTTCTACCGTGTTTCCGATTATCTAGAAGTGACCAGGTTAATCATTGCTGCTATGTTGGTTTGAGTCAACAGAAATATATGTCAAGGAGCCCGGCACTGTAGTTATTGATAATGCAGACTCAGAAAACTGTTGAGTAAATACACAGTCCATATGAGGTCATTTTAGGTAACTGTATACTTCAGTGAATCAATATCAAACGTAAAGAATCGTGTGGTAGCCTAATCTGTGAGACGATAGATGTGCTTTCTACACCTGCACTGTGGAAGATAAAAAGCTCAAGAACATGTACATCTCACAGATAGTGTTACACATTGACTGAAAGCAGGGAGATATAAGTACCACTATAGGAAGACATTTGAAGATGCTGTTTTGCATCAGTCGAATGTCAGATGACGTCACAGGAAGTACCGCACGAACTTTGAAAAGGGAGTTAATTTTCACGCTCTTGTTTATAATTGGATTTTGTTGTGTTATACGCTTCAAAAGTCCACAGATTTAACTTTAAATCAGTTTATTCTGGTCGAAGTTAGTTTACGTTTCAGATCTGAGTCTATTAATTATAATAAGTGTTCTTATAACATAATAGCCACATATATCTATCTTTGTGCACTCATTAGCTTTTATCACTGATTTACAAAGGTTATATATATATATTTGAAGTTGTATTTAACTTTTCCTGGTTCGTTTTAAATAAAATGCCTATTAAAAGAAACCGCTGCGGAAGGGCTATGTGCCAGTTTCCAGTGGATGAGGGAATGCAGTGTGATAACTGCAAGAGATGGTTTCACAGTATGTGCACGAACCTTACTCCAGCAGCATACAAACGCTGCTGCAAACCTCTAGCGAACTGGTTATGCAACGACTGCTGTAGTACAACTAAACTCCGTATTACAGAAGCCATAGCTACTCTTAGTGGGGCTTTAAAGCTCATGGACTGCAAGCGTCCTCCACCACAGAAGAATACCGACTATTGCTCAGATAGCGATGACGTGACTAGCGTCATTGACAAAACAGCACATGTCCCAGATGCGACCTTGCCAATAAGTGAGTGCTCTACAGCACAGAAGAACACCCACCATATTACAGACACCCAGGTCGCCCCCACGATACTGGATGAGCCCTCCAGTGACAGTAATGGAAAGACTGCCGTGAAGAAGAGGCGTACTAGGGGTCGAAAACCTGCAGCTCCAGTCGCCCAGGGACTGGCGGAACAAGCCTCATCCACACCGGTGAGCAGCAGACAGACGAACCCCACTAAGATTAGCGAGGAGGACGCCAATGAATGGCGCACCGTAGTCTCTCGCAAAAAGCGAGATAAGGATAACACTTCGGCCACACCGCCCAAGAAGGATAGAAACACACTTACGCCTCAGGGCAAGAAAGTAACGGAAAGCAAACCCGATCTCTCTGATAGGTCTCTCATTCTCCACAAAGTGGAGGAGTCACTGGCTCTCGACCCTAAGACCAGATTCGAGCATGACCTTAACTTGGTCAAGCCCCTTTTAGACAAGCTACTGCCACAAACAGTATCAGGCATTACTATACACAGCGTATACAGAATAGGTCAAAAGCCTGACCCTACAGTAAGTGAACCTGTACGTCTCCTCAAAGTCGTACTAAACTCTAAAGCGGAGAGGGACGCTATTCTAAGCAACTCTCATATTCTCAAAGGATCAGGGATATATGTCCGCGCTGACTTAAGCCTGGCAGACCGTGTCAAAAGACAGGCTGCGGCACTAGAATTAAGTGAGCGACGCCGGAACGGTGAGAAGAACCTTAAGATTAAGGGTTTTCGGGTTGTCCGAGTTCGCAGTTTAATGATCCCGAAACCTCTGTGGGTGGGCCGGGGAAGCACCAATCTGAATTAACAGTCTGCTACACAAACGCCCGCAGCCTGTTAAATAAAAGGACTGAGCTGGCAAACATGATAGAAACCGGAAACCCGGATGTAATTATTATCACAGAGACATGGCTCACACCCGATGTCACTGACAACGAAGTTAACCTGCCAAACTTCGAAGTGCACAGGGTAGACCGACTAAACCGCAAAGGAGGGGGCGTAGTCATCTACCTCAAGAAAGGCTTAACCGTGCGTAGTATCGAAGCACTCGCCCACGAAAGTGAGTCGTGCGAACTTCTACGCTGCAGACTTAAATGCATAGGCCAAGACATTGACCTCATTGCTGTGTACCGCAGTCCTGACTGCAGTGCAGACGACTTCCTAATAGAGAAGCTAGGCTCCTGGACTTCAAAATGTCGAAGTCTCGTAGTCGGTGACTTCAACGCCCCAACAGTTGACTGGTCGAGCCTAACAACTCCATCTTCAGTCAACTCCTTTGACCATAAACTGCTAGAATCTAGTATATCGCTAGCCCTAGTCCAACATATCATTAAGCCCACGCGCTATGACTCACAGCACTCCTCATCAACTCTGGACCTAGTGTTCTCACACGGTGAGGATGTGGATCTCATACAACATCTTCCTCCGTTAGGAAGAAGTGACCATGCTGTGCTCACTTTCAAGTTCACAGCAACGGCAGCAAGGGCCAAAACCCCAGCTCGACCAAACGTTTGGAAAGCTGACATAAATGCGATCGTCTCAGCAGCCAACTCAGTAAACTGGTACATCAATCCAGAGTCCCAAGTAGAAGCCGCATGGAACCAATTTAAGCAACTTTACGCCCAAGTAACTGTACCCTTCATCCCTTGGTCTGTTCCAAAGGGTCGGAAACATTCCCCCCCTTGGATAAACCGGGAGATTCGTAAGTTACTCAGACGTAAACGCAAATGTTGGAACCTGTTTGCAACACTTGAGACTTCTGAGACCAGGGAATTATATACTACTGCTAGAAATAAAGCTATCGCAGAAATCCGCCAATCAAGGATGAAGTTCGAGACACACCTGGCCCAAAATGCAAAGGCACAACCTAAGAAAATTTTCTCGTACTTGAATTTCAGGAATAAAACACCCAATGGTGTCCCAAACCTGATTATTGACAAAGATACAATCGAAGAAGATCAAGAAAAAGCAGAAGCAATGGCAAACTACTTCTCCCAAGTCTTCACTCAGGAGTCATCACTGCCTATAGGATCAGCTCTGGCTGCATCAGAAGAACATGGGATAGATTCCGTTGACATCGACCAAGGCATCGTGCTCAACTTCTTAATGAAACTAGATGCAGGAAAATCAATGGGTCCTGACAGTCTTCATCCAAGGCTTCTCAAGGAGCTATCAGCCCACATAGCCGGCCCCTTGACCACGATCTTCAAGCTATCTCTCCAAAATGGAGTGTTGCCACGTGATTGGAAAGACGCCATAGTAACCCCCATACACAAAGGAGGATCAAGACAAAGCCCTTCAAATTACAGGCCTATCAGTCTCACCAGCACTTTAATCAAGACACTGGAAAGAATTATCAAGAAAAGCATCATGGCTTATCTGGAAAATAGCAGCTTGTTATCTGGAGCACAGCATGGCTTCCGGAGGAACCTCTCATGCCTGTCAAATCTCCTGACTGCAAGAGAAAGCTGGGTCAAATCAAAGGATAACAGAAGACCCGTTGACGTCGTCTTCATAGACTTCAGTAAAGCCTTTGATAAAGTACCTCACAAAAGACTACTCATGAAATTGGAAAGTCTTGGTATCAAAGGCAGACTACTAGACTGGCTCAGGGAATTCCTCATAGATAGGAGGCAGAGGGTTAGGATCAACTCAAAACTCTCCTCCTGGACAGCAGTAAGTAGCGGAGTGCCACAAGGCACGGTTCTCGGTCCTCTCCTTTTTATTCTGTATATCAATGAGTTACCTCTGCTCACCGACTCCCCTATGGTCCTATACGCAGATGACTTAAAAATTTGGAGGGAGCTGAAGGGCAACAGTGATACGTCCACCTTGCAAGACGACCTCAACAAACTGTCGGAGTGGTCTGTTGAATGGATGCTCCCGATCAACGTGGCAAAATGTGCAACCATGCGCATTGGACAAGCAAGCACGAGCTCCTACGAACTAGAGGGAATAACACTTCCATCAGTTCAGACTCACTTGGACTTAGGTGTCATAGTTAGCCACGACTTAAAAACTACAGCACACTGTCGCGCGGTGGCTGCACGTAGTTTCAGGTCCTTATGGGCGATTCGCAGAGCCTTTACAAGAATTACCAGAGATATGTTCACCTCCTTATACACATCTCTGGTTAGGTCAAGACTGGAAAACTGCATCCAGGCCGCCAGTCCGTGTCTAAAAGGGGATTCACACATTCTAGAAAGTGTTCAAAGGAAGGCAACACGTATGGTTCACGGCATAGCTAACTTATCATATGAGGAAAGACTAGATAGTTTAAATCTCTTCTCACTGTCATACCGTAGGCAGAGAGGAGATTTAATCACAATGTTTAAAATTTTAAATAATGACTACGGACCTGACCTATTCTCTCTTTTCCTTCCCACCAGGTCGGAACACCTTAGAGGACATAGCAGGAGAGTTCAAAAGCCAAGGAGAAATCATATTGCTGTTGAGTACTGGTTCTCACATCGAGTCATAAACTCTTGGAACCGACTCCCAGAAGAAGTGGTGTCTGCAACCTCAATTGATTCGTTCAAGAAGGGTTTGGACAACCACAGAAATCTACTAGAAAAGGATTAACATAGGCTGCAAGCCTTCTATCCTCAACCAATAAATCTGAATCTGAATTATATATGCCGACTCACAGCAACTGAAAAGCTGAATGTCACAAGTCGTTTGACGACAAGATTAGGAGTATAATTATCAGTCAAAGAAAGACATATCAGTGGGGTTAAGGGGCTCATGGCTTAAGGTTAGAACTAGTCTCAAGATATGACAAAGATTTTAAATCAAGAGACTAGTACTAGATGCACAACGGTTACTATCTTTTGAGAAACACGAAAAAGGTGTCCCTTGTGACTATTATTAAAATTCGTATTTGTTTATACCAGTAATTGCAAAAAACTCCTGCTTATATTGAAAGAAACACTTAGTACACGTGACAAAACACAATACTATCTGCATGCAAAATTCCCAACGTTTCGTGTGTATACTAGTCTGAACTTACTGGACATCAGCAGTGTGATCAAGGTCTAAAAGCAAGGTAAAGTGAGATTAGCATATACACAGTTACATTCATATTTGACAACGGGTATGGGCGGGACTTCACAACCATTCGACCTTGACATGCCGAAGTTTCAGGTAGGTTAAATCCTCCGCCTGTTGAACCGCAGTTAAGGGTTTTCTGCAGAGCGAGGCTGGACTTATCCTGGATAAAGGTTCTTAACTAAACCAACTTTGTAAAAGCCAGACAAACACCAAAATCACATTCAGTGCGGCCCTCTGGATCAAGAAAAGCAACTTGAACCTACCAAACAGCATAAACGCCCATGAGACGATGAATGTGGCGCCGCCACAAGAAAGGATGTGCTGTATAATCGACAAGAACTCCATGTTCTATACCGGATCGTCAAAAAATACTGACTACTGGAAATGAGTTTTATATAATCTTATGTATATTTAGAAGGCTTTCACCTTCACATGGAGGAGATCGTGTGAAGAGAAGTTTAAACAGTATGGACTAACATGGATGCAGGTGAAAAGTACAGCAGAGGACAGAAGCAAGTGGAGACGTGCAATTAAAAGCCCTATGTTCCACTAGGAATCCAAGGAAACAATAATAATAAGTGTATATTTCGGAATGGTTCTCACTTAAGGGAATTGTACGTTTGTTTGACTGGAGACCGTTCAAAAACAAGAGAACGTAACGCGATGACGAACCAAATGTCCGTGATTGTTTTCCCCTTCATATAACATAACATTAGCTTCACTACGGTATTACGTACTGAGAATTCCACTTTGTTTTAAAACATAAAAAACAAGCCATTATTATTTACCTCTACCATCAAAATAAAACTGCGACATCTATGCTTGTCATTAAGACGCGCTAGATCACAGTGAGGCGAGAGTAAAGAATAGATACTTTTGCCAAATGACCCCAAACTATCTAATCTATCTAAAAAGGGGGATTTACAGAGTAAAAATCATGTTTACTGAATATATGTACGACAATAGTGAGTTATGTAGGGTGTTTGTCTCTTATATTATGAGAAAATAAATCTTGGTTTTCCTTTGGAGTGGCTATAGGGAATAAGCCAGAAACAGTATGAGTATACTCTTAATGCTATCCAAGTAACAGGACCCACTAATTTTGATGAGTGATGGCTTTTATGACTAGTGTAACCTGATGGTGATATTTACACTACTCATTACTTCAAGTGGATACTGCTTATACGATTCTCTAAAATCTTGCTCTTAGAATAAATATAAAACTACTTTACTCTAACCCTAACCCTGAATCAGAGTGAAACTTGCAGCTAAGATTAAACGTGATAAAAATTTCTTATGATGAGTGACCTGATTACTTGGTTTAAGGATATTTGGCTGTCTTATCTATCCTTAACTACCCTCAATCATGAGGCCAGCCGAAGAACAAACATTGTCTTAATTACCACTTAAATAAACTAGGATCGCGGCGGGACTTATACACCACGTTGGTTATAATTTCGCTTGAAAACGTTTTGTCAATAAGTTGTAATAAAATTTTGTTGTATGTTATCTGGATTGATGGGAATTCTCAAATCCTGGCTAGTTATAATAATAATATAATAATTTGTATTTTCATATAAACATATATTCACATTATGTAGGTGTCCACGTCATGTGATCTTACTGCAACACACTCTTAGCATATTGCTTGCAATGATTACTGTTTCAGGTGGACCGTGTCAAAATAGCGCTATAATGAGCAAGTGGGATAGTTGGAGGTTAGTGTCATCAACACAAATAGCCTACTTTATTTAGAAGCTGCACCCTTCGGCATAGTATAATTCAATGAAGACTTCATGTCTCAGGATATCGATTCAGCCAATTTTCGTGTGAAGAACGGTCCTTTTTGACAAAAGAATGGTATCACTACATGCAAATTACCTGTAAATGCTAGCAGACCCCTTGTGGGAACAGAATTCATCATGTAAATGTGTCTTTTACCGTTTGTGTGTTTAAACGGGAATTATCGTAAATTTAAAGGTAATCTCTGAGTGGATTTAATACATATGTGCGCTGATTGGTGCAATGTAATATGGGTTAATCGGATTCAGTGTAAAAAATCTCAACTTTATTAATATTGTGCCATTGTCTGCTTAGCTGACTGCTAGGCTAACAAATGTAGGTGGTTCTCATGACTATTGCAACTGCAGTTCAGTGGAAAAGGCAATTACTCGTTTAATTATCCTCACTGTTCCGCTTAGTGCATTATTTCACTGTGTAGTATTTGTCAGTGTAGTTGAAGATTGAACGATCAATTCATAGCTGTTTGCTCAAACCCAACTCCTCCATATTTTTCGCGGGTCATCAATCCGGCAGTCATCGTCTCATCGATCGCTGTTAAGCGAAAGATCGAAATCTATCAGAAGTGTTATCGTGATTTATTGTCATAGCATTTTTTCTTAAACCTTGTGTAATAATCTTATCGTTGGTTACATGTTGGCGTAATAATAAAGGATTCTTGAGTCGCCAATCAGTGTTCTGGTTTTTGCGTTGGTTAATACAAAGTGTTTCTGAAAGACTTCGAGGAACAGCGTGAGGTTCAGCATAGTAAGAGCTTGACATTTATAGTTTATGGGAGTTGGCTGACAACCTGTGTAGAACTTCTGCATTATGTTGTAAATGACTGAGGTACTCGGAAGTATGGGACAAGAAACGAAGCAGGAAATACATCTTCTTTTTTATTTGTAAGACCTCGATTATCTATTGATTGAAACTGACCCGACCTTGGCGGCCTGTTTGACATCTGGGCTACCTTTTCCTGCATCTACATATCGCATCTAATAAGTCATGTATTCATTCCTAATTTTAATAAAATATGATAGCAAATCGCATAAAATACAGTAATTCATTCATTAAACGTTTTAAACCATATGACTTTCATGCATCTAATAAATCTAAGAGAAAACATCACGCTGGATGGCAGCGTGCACTTAAACAGACATTTTTATATCGTACAACCATTCCTGTTATTGTCACTTCAAACTGCCGTTCACTTCCCAACAAAATCATGCATCTCCAGTCTCTCTTATCATCTGATACTTATCACAATACGGTGATTGATGCATTACAAGAAACATGGCTCCATGAACTCTATGATGACAATCTGGTTTCCCTAAATGGCTTTACATTGTTTAGACAAGATCGACTATGCTCCAGAAAGAAAAGAGGTGGAGGTGTTGCAACTTTCATTCATTCTCAATGGTCAACTTCAAATAATGTAGGTTTTTCTTACTCGAAAGACTTTACTGATTGTAAAACGGTCAAAAGAAGAATTATTGAAAATTCTTGTAAGTTGGTTACTTAAAATATCAGCTCATTTCTTTAAAACAATGGCAGGTATACCATCAGGGCCTAGACTCTGGGAAGGTTTAAGAGATTTCAAACATTTCAGAACATCAGAAGTATTGAAACTATGAAAGTCACTGGTCGTGTTATTAGATAAATTGAAGGTAGAAGGGACATTTGGAGGGCGGATGAAAGATCTGTTGAGAGTATTCACATCAATAGAAGAGGCAAAATTATTATGCTTACCACAACCAGTAATTTCTCTAAAGTGCTTCCATATGTTTTCTGAGATTTTACAAGATAGTATTGTTTGATTATAAATGTTGTTTAGTTTCTTGATTTCAGATTTAATTTGGGTGTTTATCTTCTTAAGACCAGATTTATTCTTGGTCTTGTACAGCTTCTCTTTTTCTCTACGAAGTTTTTTGAGATGAGGGGAAGAAAAACGATCCATTCTTTTGAAAATTATCTGTTTTGGACAGCATATATCAAGACAGAATTTAAGATAGTCAGTCAAATTGGAAATAGTATCATCCAGTTTGTGTTCGTTGAAAAGTTCCCAGTTAGTGTCATTTAGCATACATCTTAGTTTGAGCATATTTTCTTGTGAGTAACACTTTTGCTGTGTTATCTTAGACAGATTTGAGAAGATATTAAAGTGAGATCTGCTGTATATCTTAGGTAATGTCCGAATAATACAATGATCTGAGTTCACGATAGGAGCACGTTGGCGTACTTCATATATTTCCTCATCATTAATGAACACTAGATCAAGAGTTTTATCCAGCCGAGTAGGGAATTTAACAATATTGGCATGACCTAATGATACGAGGAAAGAACAATCACAACAGATCAAAATCTACTGTGACAACTGATAAAGAGATTCAAGATGTGTAACGGCTAATTCAGTGAATCCATCAGCAAAATCAGATAGATCCGAGACAGAACATCCAGGAGTAACATAAATGTACCAGATGAGGACGTATGTCAATCACGTCTCATAAACCGTTAATGCCCAGCTCTCGCTACGCTCGGGCCCACGCTGTTCTTCGAAGATTTCAGAAACGCTTAGTTATAACGGACGAAAAAACCAAAACACCGATCTGCCGCTTGATATTTCTGTATAGTTACACCAACATATAAAAAGAATAAGTGAACTAAGGTCTGAAAACAAATATTACAATAATAATTCATTGTATTACTTCTGACGATGTTTAACTCTTCTTTCTGAACAGCGACCGATGAGACGATGACTGTCGTATTGATGCCTCCGCGAAAATTGGGGAAGTTGATTTTAAGTAAACAACCAAGAATTGATCGTTCAATCTTCAACTCCATTGACACTCCCCGGCAAAAAAGGGATCCAACCCTTTTTTCCTTCACGACCAATGCACGTTGACTTGGATGCCATTGTGAGAACCTGGGTCACACGGACAGAGCTGAAATGGAAAACAAACAGAAAAGCCAACACACCACAAGCATACCCACAGCACAATCTCACACATCAATGACGACCTGCGCCTCCAGACAGAGACCTCCTCTTGACATCTTGCAACACGATCGCCACTTACTAGAATGACTCTTGCAGAATGCAAAGTGACCATGGCAGCACCTCACGATACTCTACGCACATCCTCTTATCTACTCACTACCAATTACCACTGAAATCGCTTGTCACTCATTCTGTCTCAATTCTAGTAGCGGTGACGCATGCGAGCCTCAGTCGTTTACACTCTTTCTCCCCGGCGTGTCGGACCGCAGCTAACAATTATCTCCGTGTGCATTTCATTCTCAGCACTAGCCTAGCCTCCTCGGGGTATATGACCCATCTGCTGTCCTTAACATCAATCAATTCATTCATGGATGTAGAAGACTCGAAACAACTTCAGAAGTAATCACGACGAAAATTTTAACAGAATTACGCAATAACAACAAGACACGAAAACAACACGTAAACACAATGAATCCAAAATACACCAATTGCTATGACACACCACAC